CCTCTTTCTTTGTTGTCTCCAGAGACAGGTATTCAGTCCAGGCAGTCGTGCTATCATATGTCTTGGACTCATCAACAATCTTCTGAAACATTGTTCTCTTTCTTTGAGGAGGGGAAAAAAATAAATAGGAAAAGCCCCCAAACAAGGAAACAAACATGTTGAAAAAAGATAGCTGAGCCTGGCATTGATAACCCTTATGGAAGGGTTTCCAGTAGCTGCTGTCCTAGCATTTAGGTCCTCAAGGAGGCCCCCAACAAATCGACCACCATCACCTGCTTCTCTTAAGTAGGGAAAACTATTATAAATGTCTTAAAAATTAGTGTAGTGGTCAGTCATGAGTAAGAACTTGAAAGTATGAGATACTGCAAGTTATGTCAGCTTCCACCTTTGTTGGTAGTGCAAGAAGGCTTTTTCCCTGAATGTTAAGCAACCTGTAGAAACCTAGAGCTGGCTTTGTGAAACTACCTGGTTTTACCTGCATAGTCTGACCTTGCTAACCTTATTTATATATCTAAATATATACATCAAATTCTGGGGAGAGGTTTATACACAACACACCCATATTTTGAGTGGTGTGAAATTTGGAAAAACCTGCTTTTTCATTGCTAGCAGAGAAGACATTTAGGCCAGATCCATAAAGCAGCTTGCATATATGTTCTATGTGCATCATTTTGCCTCGGTCTGATCTCAACCAAGCCTTTGTTTGCATGCACCAAGGATGGCAAAGACTGGTTTGTGTGCACCTGGTAAGGAAGAGGTGGTAACTGCTCACATATAGCCACCCTACCTTTGGAGTATGAGGACTGGGTATTGCACCCTTCCTTACATTCCTCTTTTGTGGACTTTATATTTTGCACAATCATTCTTCAGTGCAAACCACAGAAGCAGTCTCTGGCCTTGACACTGCATTTTGAAAGCACATGTTGAAAGCTCCCTGCTAATTAGGAAGTCATATATTGTTGAATTCCAGCTGTGTGTCCCAGGAAGCCAGTGCGTGCTGATAATGCAGCCCTCGCCAAGCCATTCATCATTTATGAGTATCTTTAGTGATGAAGTGCTAGCAAGGACTATTTGAACCAACAGACATCTCTTTCTGTTACAGGATCATACAGCACTGCCTTGATGGAAATTGAGGCTTAAAATGTCATGTATTTGATATAATGAGTAAAAGTCCAAAGTTTTTTTGAGCAGTTTGAGTTCTCCCCACCAGCCCTCATGTCAGTATTAGAGGCAGTGAATAGGATTTCTGCATGAGGGGTTCTCAGAACAAAACATCACTTTTTGCCTTTGTAAAATAGATGTGGATGTGACCAACTTACTTGAAGTAGAGCGCCAGGTCTGTGGCTATAATGGCAATATCCATGAGGTGAATCATGTGCTCATGCTGTCTGCGGTTGAGGTTCTGACATATATTCAGCGACTGAAAAGCAAACAAAAGGGAGCTGCAAAATCCAGGCATTGTGGTGTTGTGAGTTCCTGACCATCTCCCTTTCTCAAATGTGCTTGCTTTTTTTAATACGTATCTTTAATAGCTTCAGCTTGCTCCTCTAAGGTGCAAGGGTTGTGAGCCCTGTTCACTGTAGCTGATGCCTAGTCTCCCGTTTTATTCACTGAACAGGGTCAGTGTCCTGAAGCTTGTTACACAGCATGTGCCCAAACCGTGTGCCCTGGTCCCACTGCAAGCTTTCCTGAAATGAGAAGTTAGCTGGGGGAGTCTGTTAGCCTTGGCCCTGCCAGTGGTGCTACAGGAGGACAATCCTGTGTTTAACATATTTACATGGGGGTAACAATATGGGTTCTGAAGAAACCAAATCGTGCGTTTAGGAGCCTGTGCATTTTGGTCCTGGGTGAGCACCTAGTACTTGCGAAGTGAAGCAACTTCAGAGTTGGGATATCCCAACCAGAGAAAGGTCTTGTGCTAAGCTGTCAGCTCTGTTGCTGAAAAATCTTCCCAGAAAGTAAATTATTCATGTCCCTGCATTACGGTTTATTACCAACCTCTTCAGAGAGCAAGAATTTTCCAAATTCCAAGTGATGTCTCTCTAAAATGGAGGATCCATGAAGTTTAGCTAAAGGATTTTGAGATCTGGTTGCGCAAATGAAAAATTAAAGATGTTACCACAACACTTACTTAAAAAAAGAAAAGAAGTGTCCCATTTTATTTTTAATTTTGTCACACACAAAAGTTCAACTCATTCTAAAAAGGCTTAAGAGTAATACTTTAATAGCTAATGAGTTCAGTCTGGTAGAAGAGTTTTATAACACTGCTTATGACTATTTGGATGACGTATAAAATAGTCTTCCACTATAGATTGCACAAAAATGTTGTTTATGACTGGGCTGTTATTACCCAGCACAGTAAGCTTGTTTAACTCCTGAATAGCTACACGTTCATATCTAGTAACAGGAACAGAAGAAACAGCAGTCCTTGGGAACTTTCCTACCTGACAAACAAGACGCTCTTCTATGCAAAAAACCCCTCCACCTTCACTTACAAATCCCAAAGCTCCAGACGACAGTAAGACAGTACAGCCAGCAAGCACTGCAGAAGAGCTGTGATCTGACACTACTGAGCATCAGAGCAACAAAGGCTCTACTGGTCATGAAATTACGCAGCTGTTCTTTTGTAGCTGGTCACCACCTACTGGGAACAGCACCCTCGTACTCGTGGGTGCTTTGTTTATGCAGGTGGTGAGGGCAGTGCCATGCATGGTGGGTTTTCCATAGACACCTCTGGGCCTCTAATGGCTGGGTTCCTCCCAATGGCATCCTGAGTCTTCTATGATGCTGAGGCTACTAAATGCCTGTCCTGCACATGTTCCACCCTGTAACAGTAATGTAGAGCGTGGCTTTAACCAAAGGAGGTTTGCTGTGAGCCAAAGAAAGCCCCAGAGAGCACTGCAAGATTTCAAGTGCTGTAGTAACCTGAAAAGTGAAGTTATTTGCAAAAAAATGTTGCAGTGTATAAAACAGCTGTTCTGGAGTTTGGTGTGATCACAGGCTGATCCCACTTCACACGAGAGCAACAGTAAATGGTTTGAAGTAGCAGGAAAGTGCTTACTTCATTTGGTAGAGGTTGTTGGTTCCTCTGTGGTCAATATCGTGGCAAAGAGCAGCAGTTACCATTGCAAAGGCCTCAAGGTCTGTGTAATACCGCTTCAGCTTGCCAGTCTGGAGGGTGAGAATTTGCATGTCATTTGTTAGTATCTCTGATAGAAAAAGGTACTGAGCTGTTACTGCTCTGTTCTGGGGATCTTCTCATTGAAACATTCCAGGAGAACTGAAAATAACTCATGAAGATAAATGCAATATGTGGCACACTTAGGTTAAAATGGGGAAGCAGCTGGAAACAAAACAATTCAGACTCAGGTAGGCGTGTTGTACATATGTGCTTGTTGCCCACCTGCAATGTTGTGTGCCTGCTTCTATAGCAGCCTCTTGCCCTAGGGACACCTGGATCCTCACAAGAGCCCCTCCAGTCACTGGACACAAAGTGAACCCCTTTGTGAAGGGGCTCTGCCTCTTTCTGAGCAATGGAGTTTAGATTCCAATCTGAAGCACCCAAAGGATTATCTGGGGGACTGTAGATGTAATTCTGATGTGAGCTGTCTGGGTCTTACTGTCTGCACAGGGTCCACCAGTCGTGTGGAGCAGCAGTCTGACGCCTTTTATTGTTGGGGCATCTGTGGCCTTGAGAGCCTGTGAGAAATGGCACTTGCCACATTCACACTAGCGATCAACTTATACCTGACTGGAAATGGAAAGTGTGAGGTTGTCTGCATCCCTTCCAGCTAACCTCAGTCTGGCTCTTACTGTCAGAAACTACTGGAGGAAGGGAAGTCCTGTAGTCTCTCTCCCCTACCTATTGCAAGTGCAACAGAAGACCTCCTGCTAACAAAGTCAAGCCACAGCATTAGCTAGGAAGGTGTTACCTTACCATCAGGAGAGTGAACATGGTCTGCGCGACATTGAAGCCATGGCGCCAGTTGTGGTAAGTTATCTTCCGGTAGCCTTTGCTGACGGAGTACACAAACCTTACCAGTACCTGCAAATGGGGGGAAGAGGATGTCAGTTTGTGTGATGAAGCTGCTGCCTGTTGCGCTTGTAATAAAGACCGTGCACAGAAATCATGAATGAGGTTCAGAGATGGCCCTAGAAAGAAATAGGAAGCTGTAATAACATCATCTTACTGCAGAGAATTGCTATAGTAAAGCCTAGTGGAAGGCTAAAAGGAACACTAAAATCTAGATGTCTTTTTTCTAATCTCAGAGAAACAAAATCAAAGACGCTTGAGGGACAAACAAGAAAGAGCAATGTCTGTATAAAAATAGATTTGATCCTACTGTTTGTGAATTTGTTGAAGTTCTGTGTTTCTCTATGTATATAAGATTTATTAATACTAATTAGTTTTACTAAATTACCGTGATTTAGTAATACTGATACCTCTTTTCAAGTGATATGGCTCCATAGATGTAGAGATGGGTGGTGTTTATATCATCTAAACTATTAAAATATAAGGCATGAAATAGCAAAATGTTTTTTTTTCCTCTGCATTCTACTTCTCCACATGTACTACCTCTTGTAGCTCCATAGGTTTTCTCATTAAGGAGCAAATTAATCATGCATAGATAATTCATTTTTCAAAATCTTAGCTGCTCAGAGTGGAGGCAAAGAATGACTGCTTTTCATGCCTGTATCAGAGATTAGTTGTTACAGAGTAGATATTTGGAATACTTTCTGACACTGACATGCTATCAGTAAAAAGCACAGAAGTACTTCCCGTCCAGAGCACCCCACTTCACTCCTGCTTCGCTGCCTGCCTCTCCGGCGTAAAAACTCTTCCTGCAGTTACCCCAGAACCCACTAGATGGCAATAAACTTCACATGATGAGCTGGGAAACCACTTGCTGAAATGTCAGTTTCGGGACTCCTGCGGTTTCACATGTGAAGAGTGCCAAGAGTGTGAACTTGCACATCAGGGGCTAGTGGACCCTTGTTCTCACCGCTCTTGTCGCCAGCAGTCAGGCAACAACTGCACCAAATGAAGGCATATTTTTGTTTGAAGGGGGAAGAAAAGCAGATCGACCTGCCATTGTGGTTATGTTGTCTGAAAGCTGTCAGGTATGTACTATAGCAAACAAAGCATGCACAATTATGCACTGCCCTGTGCTGCGCCTGCAAACTGTGCTTTTACAGTGAGGCTGTGAGAGGCATTAGACATGGCAAGTGCAAGCCATTTTTTGCGTGGTGTTTTTCCCATCTACATAGACCTGACAACAAACCCATGCACGTGGCAGACAGCGCAGGGCAGCAGAGGCCAGCTTCATTCCCCAAACACATATGTAGCAGCCAGAGGCTTTGCGAGGGGATCTCCTGCCCTCAGTGGGGGGGGGGGGGTGCTCAGGATACACACCTCTGCAAGCTCCCACAACCCCAGACCTATGGCTGCACCATGAGGTATGCAGGGCATGAACGGTGACCTCAACCATTCAGTGCTGAATGTGCTGGCCATCCAAGGCAGGAGGCCCTGAGTGCTGCCAGCTCCTACCTCCTGTGGGATCTGGAACTTCTTCACCACGCCAAGCTCGTAGTACATCTGAATGCCACACTTCACCAGCTCCAGCTCAGTGCAGTCAAAATCAGAGAACCGGAACTCATAGATTTCAAACTTGGTGGGCCCCGGGAGTTCTTCTTTCTGTAAAGGAGGTGGGACAATTTGTTGCTGTACTACTTATGCCATCCCTAGAAACACCTGGAATGGGCTTTGCTTAATACAAATTTATCAGTATGATACTGCTAGAAACTCCTGCTTTTAGAATATAGCACATAAATAGACTGAAATGCAGCTTTTCATGATAACACCATAAGTGAATAGGGGAGGCAGAATAGGGAAGGCATGTTTGGTCAAGTTCAAGAAGTATTGCTTGTTTTCTGTTAAGCACTTTTCTTGATTTGCTATAGTCTAAAGACCCCAAGACTTGAGAGTTCTTATGGGGAAGACTTACAGCCCTCCGTATTTACTCTGGAGAACAAATAGTGTGACAGGTCAAGCTGGCTGGTGAGTTTCCAGGTGGACTCTGACCTCCTTGAGATAAAGTGGCAGAGAGCTCTCTTGGGAGCCGGGTAAGGCATTTGCTGCCACCCGATAATAACCTTAAACTCACACAGCAGAGGAGGGCAGGGCATGCTTTGCCTTCACCCTTCACCAGGTGCCCTGTTGACGCATACCAGTATGTCAGCACTGAGAACTCTTCCCTGCATCCACGCAAGCAATATTTGTTTGCCAGAGCTATCCACTGGAGCGGTACATTGCTCTTACCAGGATGCTTGCTAGCTCATCTTCTTCACACTCGCTTGGCTCCTTCCCCAGCTTTTCTCGTGTTGGCTGCAAAGAGCACATACATGTTAAACTTACAGCCAAACCCCACTGGATTTTGGCTCTCTGCAGCTTCGGGGCAACCTAGGGCAGCTCTCATATGCAAAGTGCATTTTCTTCCTGGACCTTAGCTCTGTCTAGGGTCTTTCAGCCCATTCTTCCTGGTAAAATGTTCTCCCTCTCCTTGATCTTGTTTCGTGCTCATGTTTCCTCCACTTGCAAATGTCCCCCTTGAGGCAGTGTCTCAGCCAGGTCTTCCAACTCCACACCCTCTGCACTAGGGAGACATTGGGGAATAAATCAGCTCCTCTTTCACCCTACCTGCCTTCCCTGAGTAGCACCTGTGTCAGCCCATATCCAAGACTGGCTTTGCTGAGGAAATGAGGAATGACACAGTGTGGCAGTGAGCTGAGGCGGAGAGGAAGATCACAGAGTCAAAACAGAGACTTGTTCTGCCTCTCTGCAGTAACTGGGGCCCTGGGTCCTGCCTCCACACTATGGTGCTTGGGAGTTTTCTGTGGGATAGGAGGCTTGTGTCTGTGCATTAAGTCACAGGCAAGGCCAGCACCCTTGGGAGTGTGCTGCACCCTGTGAGGCATTACCAGAATTTCCTGGATTTCATCCTTGTCACACTTCACATGGTAGAGCACCATATCCTGAGCAATGTCTTTCCTGTTCTCCAGCTTGTTCATCTTATCGTATGTGTCTGTGTTGAGTACAGACCAACCCAGGAACTGTGTCAAGGACTTGGGGAGAAGAAAAGAAGGAAATGGTGGAATAAACAAAACATGTGTTCCTTAGACACACAGAAATACAACACTGAATGATATATCTTAGGAGAAACACAAGCTCCACTTTGGCCACATATCTATCAATGAGTGTTTGCTCCCAACCCCTACTTGCTCCTCAGCAGAGCAGCTCCCCAAATGTTGGATCTGCTTAGACCTCCAGAGCATCCATGCATGTGGAGGACCCTCTATCCAGGGTGGACATTCAGCATATGGAAAGCTGTTTCTGCGTTGTTGCAATTGTCTCCATGCCTGTGGAAAGGCTGGTGTCTCAATGCTGACAGCAGGTCAGGAACCCTTGTATCAAGGGAGAGAAAGGTGTTCTTATCACCTTTCATACATGTTTACTTACACCTTGTGTTTGCTCCCATCTTGTTTGCTGTTCAGTGGCCAATTCAAACTGATGTTTTATTTTTTCAGTGTTTTTGTTTGATAAAAAGAGTCTATTTCAGGAAATGTTCCGACGGATAATGAATGCCAAGAGCTGAATGGCTAAATTGGATTGAAACTAGCATGGGAGCATTTCTAAGCAGCAAGGTCTCTAATCACAGATGCTATTGGTAGATTCAATACTTGGCCACCCTTTGTATCTTAGCTACACAGAAAATTTCTGTGTAATTTCTCAAAGGAGTTGCCCAGCCAGTGTGAGCCAGCTACATGTATGTGAACACAGGTCAGAATGGTCATATTAGTACATAGCAGCTGCTCATGGCTAGGTATCCAATCCAAGAATGCTGAAACAAAATGATGCAAACACAGCTGAGTTTCCAAGACTGAAACCCCCCAGTGTTTTATACAGTTGCTTTGAAAACTTTCAAGCTGATGCATAACACCTCTATATGTAACAAAGAAACTTACTTAGCTGCAAAATACTGGGGGATGCTTTGTAGGTATACAATGAGTAATAGTGACCTTTTTCAAGCGTATGAATTACTTCCAGCTGCAGCAAGGAACTATACCTCCATGAGGGTCTCATCTTGTTCATCAAATGGTTTCCCATCTTTTCTGTTATAAAAGGTGACAACGCCAACAATTTCTTCCTTTTTATTCACTATTGGCATGGAGAGAACATTTTTGATAGTCCATCCTGATTCATCTAGAGGACCTTCCTTGAAGCAATAGGAACCAGAAAGACACCATGTACTTAATGTGTTTTCTAAATACATCAGCATTCCCATTTTACATAAAGGCTGCTGGCTAAAGAAATACTAATATGTGTAATATTTACTCTAAATTACATTTTTACATACAAAGTAGAACCCTTGATGGGACTGAAAGTTTTCACTGTACCTGAAACTTAAACATCTCATCTGCAGCAGCATTCATAATGTTGCAAATCTAGGGGATCACACAAGAAAACATTTTACAATGCGGGCAGTGAGAAGTTTAAATACCAAAACAAAAAACTGAATTGATGAGAAAGCAGCATTAGTCTGACTTCATCTCAGAAAGCCTTGATGAGGCCTTAGTTAAGTACTTACAAATCCACTTTCAGCCACGTAGGTTGGCAGTCCAGTAACCAGCGCCCAGTGGTCTGGGGTGGGATTTCTGAATGGAAGAAAATCATGTAAGGAAAATTAAGGATATATGTTTACTGAAGAATGATTATGGAGATGACATGTATTCAGCTGATTGTACAGTCCACTTTTATATGTTTCACTGTCAGTTACTAAACAGTCCTGTTACTTTGAAAGGACTCATGTGCACAAGCAAAAAATTTCCACATAAGGTAAATACTTTTCCTTCAAGGATCCAATGTAGAATAACCCATAAAATAACATAGTCTGTGGACACTTAAGAAGTTGCTCCTGGAAGTGGGAGTTAAGTTTCAGACTTTCAGCACAGAGAAAAGTGCCTTTTTAAAGAAAGCTCCTGGCTCAGAGTATCTGCAAGCCTGAACTCCTGAACAGTGCTGTATCTAAGGGGCCTTTTCTTGCAGCACAAACAGCAGTGCAAAGTGAAGTGACTAGAACTGGGCGAAATGCCTGTTACGTCAGATTTGTCCAAGGTGCCCAAGGCTCCTTTGGAAACTTCAGTGGCAAGAAAAGAGGGAGACTTTAAGAAAGACAAGTCTCAGTGTGGTATCAAGAGAGAAAGAAAGGCCAGAGGTAGCCTTGAGATGGGGACAGTGACTGGAGGATGAGAGACAAGCAAGGAAGCTGGATGACAGTTACGGAAGCAGGACTCACCATGAGAAGTTGGGCAGAGGGGTGGATGGCAGGGCTGGGACAGCGGGTGCCTAAACACAAGGACAACCTGGATGGGTTCACCCGCTGACACAGGGAAGTTACCAAGGAGAAGTGATGCCACAGCCTGCCAAGGAAAGTGGCAAAAGTGCAGGCATTCAAGGAACTTGACTTCTGCATCTAAAAAGAATCACTGATCGCAGTAACTTTTGGAGCCTGACTTGTTAGCCATGGTCCCAACGCCCTTTGTCCTGTAGAAATGTGAGTCAAAGCATCAACTTGCATTCTGGCTCTTAGTCTGTATTCTATCTGTCCTTTGAATATTTCCTCACGAGTCTTTGTGTCATGGAGAGCCTTGATTTTAGCTACTCTCTGTGTCAGTACCTGGCAGACAAAACCTGGGCACTTACGGGATGACTTTGATGTCTTCTTTTCCATGTAATATATAATCAATGACCTTGTAAAAGACGATTTCCTGCAAATAAAAATGAATGTGACGTTAAAATTAGCAGTGAGGCAATCCAGCCAGATAGGAGAGAGTTTAAGAAATCTGGTTCTCACATACCCTGCCATCTGGGGTGCGAGGTCCTGAGTACGGGGGAACTTCTCCCAGCAAGACTGGCCACAGGTCAAAAAATTCCTGGTTTTAAAATAAAAACCAAGTATACTTAGAGTAAAAAAAGTGCCATGAGCCTCGAAGTAACCACTGCTCTACCATGCTGGTTTTGGTATTGTGTAATGAAAGCATGAAATAACAAGATTGGTTTGATA